GCCCTGGTTTTGTAGTGGTTACCACAAAAGCACTGCTAACCACAATGTGGGCAATGCATCTGCCTCTCTGTGAGAGAAAGATGCGGCTTTCTACTCCAGTAACATGTTGAAATCTTGGAAACCCACAGGGGGGCCTTTTACCCAGTCCTACAGGTGGCCATGAAATGTTTTGAGAGCCCTTGACAGCAAAAGTTTCCTGGTCTCAGAATGTTTCCAGAGTCAACCACACAAAATTAAATGAGTAGGACTTGTGTGGACCTAAAGAGTAACCTAACACTTCTAGCCACAAGGACTCTTTTTTAAAATCACGCGCCGCGTGACAGGCTTGGAGCCGCTGGGCAAGTGGAATCCCTCAGCACCCAGGACTGGCAAGAACCCCTCCGCCAGCGTGCTCAGTGGATCACGGAGTCCCCAGCTCAGGACAAATGTGTGGGGTGGGGGTGGGATGCTGGCCCGGGGGGGATATTTCACTCACCTACCACTTGGCTACCTGGACACCGAACCTGCCTTGTTCGAGAGAGCTCTAAGAGTATGCGGGTCCCCTGGCCCACCATCTTCCTGGTAGTCTCCACAAGGACTCTTGAGGAAGCAGATGTTAAGAGGCTGGATCATTCATTTGGTGACAGACATGTCATTCCACTCTTCCCATTTATGAGTTAGTGATTTCCTATGTTCTCTTCCAGATTTCAACCAATGATTTAAACCAATAATTTAGGACAAGAGCATGCTCTCTTTATAAAGAGAACCAGAGGAAAAATGAAAACATTAAATTTGGGTTTTGTTGTTAAAGGGAACAAACCAACAGCAAACAAATCCTACTCACACGATTTGGATCAATAAGTCTTATTTTTGCCAAATGTAACATAAGAATATAAGCCATTTGCTATATTTTTCAAAAAGATATTACACAGAATAAGCACAAAATAGCAGCCAATTTCTCCATAATTCCTAGAATTACTTACACTTAGGTTCCTGACTAAAGGAGTTGAAATCAGCAACAATCCTGGACTATTGCTTCAGAAACAGCCTAGGAAATCTGCTCTTTCAATGCCTGTCCAATTTAGCTCTAAGAGATGACCTGGTCCTTTATCATTCTTCGAAGTTTACAAACAATTCTGTAGGGTTCCTTAAACACCTTCCAGCTTTTGTCATTTACCAGTAGTCAACACCCAGTTCTGACAGCATCCATGCCAACTTTATGCATTTCCCCAAATAGCTTTGATCACGTTAAATAGCTCAAATGTTTGTGTCTTCTGGGAGGTATCTACCAATGCTGACCTTAAAATACACACCTTGTAAAAGAGACTGTGCTTTCTCGCAGGACCCATTACACAGTGGCTATTGGACTGCCTAACAATGAGCATGCCCTCCAGTTGTCACTAATTGGTCTGTTGACATTAGGAGGGGCTTTGTGGGCCTAAAGGATCCTGACACCCAGAGCTTCAGGAACTCTGAGGATGCATCAGAGAGGAGTCTTAATCATTCCTTTTAACTTTAATTTTTAGATTTATTTGTCACTTCAAGTCTCTAAATCCATTTCTTTTTCGTTTTCCTACCCCCTTTTTTTTACAAGCCACTGAAGCACAATTTACATTTGAGGGATAAGAAATCTAGAAAGATTTCTTTTTTTCTTCAATATATACGTGTGTGTGTATTGCACACCCTATTTCAATAAATGAAATCGACAGTATCATGTTAAACCCTGTGTTTCGTCCTGCCTTCCTCGATTATTTACTGCGTGACACACGTCAATTCCCAGATCTCAATCAGTGAGGTTAGGAGTCTTAACAAATGGGCCGTGAATTTTTGACATTTCCAGACCCTGCTCTGGGTCAATTGCTTGGCCATCCCTTTTCCTTCAGGCAGCTCCAGGGCAGCCTGGTGAACGGCTCCTGGGACCAACCCCCTTCATTGCTGGGGGTCCTCAGACGCAATGGATTCTGGGAGGCCCCGAGAGCTATATAGTCTGCTGCCCCCTAGGGGACTTCCTCTCAGCTTCTCCGCTGCGTCACACGGCGAGCGACCTCCGTGAGGTAGCTGTAGTCCAATACGTAGTGTGGTGAGAGGTATTTCCTGGTGCCATGTCGGACACCGAGGAGCAAGATGAGGCCCGGGAGGGTCTGGGGAGTCCCGTGGGAGCAGGCAGTGAGGAGTCTGGAGAGGGCCTGGTCCAGATAGCGGAAGATCTTGAGGAGGCCCTGGCTGAGGCGGCAGCTCAGAGCGACCCAGAGCCGAGCAACTTGGAGGAGGAAGATGAGGAGGAGGATGGAGAAGACAATGAGGAATTGGAAGACCAGGCCTTAAGGTTCGGCCCACAATATTTCCGTATGGCTAACTTACGCTTCGCATTCCTGGGCCTGTTCCGCTCGCTGCTGTACCGCCTTACCCACAACAACTACGTCGTCCTCCGTGGCTCAGACCCCTTCTCCGGGCACCAGCACCAGGTCCCACGCAGAGGGCCCCCCTCGCTTCACGACCTGTCTCTTCTTCTCAATGAGCCCCTCGACCTGCCCTCGGCCATCGAGAGCCTCGTGGTGTCCAGGCCCAGCCTAAGTCTCAGCTTCAACGTGCCTCCGGCCACCCTGCCGCCAATGGCGCCTGAGCTGCCTGACCTGCCCCAGACCGTGCCTACCGTCCAGGCCATCGAGGCCACCCCGCCCACCCTGCTGGGCCTCGAGGCTGCAACACGTGGGTTGCACATCCAGGCTGCAACAAACCTGGGCCAGGCCCTGGAGCCCAGCAAACCCGCGGAGCAGGCCGCAACCTCTCAGGGTGAGCTTGAGTAAGGGCCCACAGGGCTGCCTTAGGGGAGGCCCGGCAGGCCGAGGGTGGGGGGTGGGGTGGGGGCGGAGCTATGAGGGTATAGGCCGGGGTCTGTGAGTGGGGTAGGCCGAGGGGCGGTGCTGTGAGCTGGGGAGGCCCAGGAGGGAGCTGTGAGTGGGGAGGGTACGGGGCGGGTAGGTATGCTGAAGGCGGGCAGGCTTTTGATGCCTCTTCAGTGGAGAAGGGCGGGCTTTGCCCAAAGTGCCCAATCCTGCACCCACTTTTACCCAATAAAGCCCGCGGAAAACAAAGCTCCCTTCGTTCTAATAGGAATGGGGGCAGTGGGAGGGCCCCGCAGGAAAGCCTGGAGGAAGAGGAGACTATGTGGATGGCTTTGCTTTGTTGTTGTTGAACACAGAAAGAGCTTAAAACGATTTGGGAGGTTTTTTTCATCCTTGGACTATATTGGCTAGGATTTTGTTGAGAATTTTTAGATCAATTTTTTATGGAGGGATACTGGCCTAAAATTTTTATTTTTAGTGATGTCTCTGCCTGGTTTGGGTGTCAGGGTTTTGCTAGCTTCTAGGAATGAATTCAGTTTTCCCTGCTTTTCTACACACTGAGATTTGGGGTCAGCTCTTTTCCAAGGTTTGGTAGAATTCACCATTGAAGCCTCCTGGACCAGGTTCTTTATTTATTTGGGGGTGGGGGTGGGTGGGCGGGGGAGTTGTTTAATGACCTGATCAGGTTCATTGCTGAGGGTCTGTCCAGGTTGGTTTCAGTTTGGTAGAGTACAGTTCTTCGTGGTATTCTGTTGTTCACCATTTTAGTTTGGTTGGTTCTCTTTGATGCCACCTATTCCCCCCCATGCCTGTTATTTGCACTCGCTTATTTTCCTTTGCTGGATTTGGTAGTCGTTTGTTATTAATCCTTTCAAGGACCCAACTTCTTGTATTCTTCGTTTTTTTCCTGTTTTTCATTTGTTTCTGCTCTAATCTTTATTATTTCTTCTGGTGACTGTAGGATTATTTTTCTAATTGTTGAGATTGCTGGGTTTAGGTGTGGATTCTGGCTCTTCCTTCTTTTGGAATGTACACTTCCGGATGCATTGCCTCTGATCTCTGATTTCCCTGTGCCCCAACAGTGTGACTTTTGCTGTGGGTTTGTTAGCATTTGACACAAGGAATATTTTACCTTCATGTTTTAATATCTTCTTTTGCTTAGTAATTTTGTTATTATTTTATTGTGACTTGTATTTTTCCCTTGGTTTACTAATATTTTTAAACTTTGTATTGTGAATTAGGTGGGATTTTACAGACTAGAGTGTCATTTTTGCATTCAACAATTAATCGAACCTCCCAATGGCTTATCCTGTCTCCCTCTTTTTATTTTTTTTTTACCCCCCTCACCTTCTTGTAGGGTATTATCTTTCCCTTCCCCAGATAATACTTGCCTACCATCTAGCTGATGAATTTCCTTCCCCACCCAACCCTGGTTTCTTTGGGCATCAAAATATTGTTTTAATTGTTTTTGTAAGAGCAGTCTCACACAATGTTTGTACTTTTGTGATTGACTAATTTCACTGAGCAGAATTTCTTCCAACTCCACAGAGTGATCATTATTTTTACCTTTGTGTAGTATTCCATTGTGTGTTTATACCAAAATTCACTTATTCATTCTTCCCCCATGGGCATTTAGGTTGTTTCCAGCTGCTGTAATCTTGAATAGTGAATAGTGCTGGGATGAACGTGGTTGTGCATACATCTGTTTGTGCCTATCAAATGTTCCTTAAGCCCTTGGGGTATCATACCACATATTCCAGTTGCTGGGTCATATGGTGTTTCTGTTCCTGATTGTTTGAGGAAGTGCCATCCCACTTTCTGCAGTAGCTGCCCTGTGTTACAGTCCCACCAGCAGTGAGTGAGGGTTCCAATATTTCCACGTCCTCTCCAGCATTTGTTATTTCTCCGGGTTTTGTCTTGTTTTGTTTTGCCCTAACTTTGCCCTTTGCTTTCAATTCAGGGATGAGATGGTATCTCGTTGATGTTTGGATTTGCATCTCAGATTGCTACTAGTCGTGCGCATTTCTTCATGTTTGTTGGCTGCCAAATTGTCTTTTTTGATGGACTTTCTATTTATGGCCTCTGCCCAGTTTTTATTTGGATTTTGAGGTGTTGACAAGGCTACAGATCTTGGAGATCAGGTCCTTCTCTGATATGTCATTGTAAAACCATTTTCCCCCGTGTGTGGGTTCTCTTTTTACTGTTTTTGGTCAAGTCTTTATAGGTACGCCACGTCTAACCTTTAGGAGGTCTCAGACACATATTTTGTCTTCTACTGTGTGTGCATTTTTTGTTCTTTTTGATCGTGTGTATATGCCATGTGTTAGGGCCCTTAAGTTTGCCCCTATATTTTTTAATGATGACCGTTATTGTTGTAGGTTGACATTTAGGTCTTTAACCCATTAGTTCATTTTATATATGGAGTGAGGGGGGTCCTGTTGTGATGTTCTGCAAATGGAAACCCACCTGTTCCATCCCAATGTGTTGAAGACTCTCTTCCTCGTTTAATATACTTCAGAAATGACTCAATTTCTTCATGAAAACTCTGATGGAGAGACCCAGGAATCAGGAGGAGAAGAAGACAAAGAAGACAATGAGAAAGAGGACAAGGGAAATAAAGAAGAAGAACCTGAGGGAGATCTGGACCCAGGAGAGGGAACCTCCGCTAGTGTCAGGTATCTGTGGTACCTTTGAAGGGACCCTGGGGTTGTAGCAGGCTCTAAGTTGGGCTGCTGACCAATAGGTCAGGAGTTGGAACCCACTGTCCACACCAGGGCAGAAGGATGAGGCTTTCTGCTTCCATAAAGATTTACATTCTCAGAAACACACAAGGAGCCGTTTTCCTCTGCTCTGTAGAGTCGCTGTAAGTCAGAATTGACTGACTGGCAGGGAGTTTGGGGTTGTTGAAGTTATTGTTGTTTTATTTTTAGTAGGTTTGTATCTATGTAACCTTTAGTTTCACCTAACCTACTGCTATTTCCTGGTTACTGAGAACTATAATTTTATTTGTAAGTTTCCTCAGTAAACTAAATAAGAAAACGTTTGTGTAAACGAAGTTTTAAGATTCAGTTCAGTTTCCTTAGAATATATTTTTAAAGTTTTCTACCTACTGATAAAACAAGCACTTTGTGTTGAGATACATTTCATGGTTACTCAGTTGTGTTAGTGAGATCCTTTTTCCTCCACTGGTGAGATTTACCAGCTGGTAATGTGTAGGACCTAGATATGGAGACCACGCTGGCTCAGAAAACACTCTAAACTCTTGTTGTGCCTTCATCACTATGCCATGAACATTTAGTTTTGAACACCAATGAGGAATCGATGCCTTTTGGAATGTGACTAACAAATCGTAGAAGGTTAAAAATTCTGAGTAGGACAGCATTTAATTACTACTTTTAACTAGGTATTTGTTCAGTTTTAGGTTTCCATATTTTACATGTCAGTCAAAAGGAAAGAGAGTTAGTCACATAGCACACCTGCTGTTTGTCGCCATGTCAGTTATTAAATCTTAAGAGATATCATTGAGTATATTTCAATTATTAACATTTTTATTTTCTTTTGCATTTTCACAGCTCTTTGCTTCCTACCAAAGACTTCTCTTCCATCTAACTAGTTGTGGAAATGGAACGTACTGAAAGGTAAGGAAGAACCACATCTAAAACTATCACAGGTTTTTAATAAGTAGTATAAAATGGTGCTGTACTCAACATCAAAAAGGAAATTTCGATTTATTGTGAAGAATCAAATAAAAATTTCATATTGTTATAGGAAAAAAAGAACTATTCTCTAAACAGCCCACAACGGTCTCTTAACCAATAACCAACAAGCGTTTATGGTGTTGGGCAGTGATCAAATGCTCAAAGCCATCAGGTGCACAAGCAGCCTGATGCCAAGGGCTGCAGGTTACAAGAAGAAAAGGCGCTCTTCATTCCTAGTTGAGAAGGAGCGTGCAGATGCAGCAGACGTACCGGGGCTGCTTCCTTAGACCCAGAAAGTCCTAGGTGCTCGTTAATGGTGTACAATTGTTTACTTTCATTTCTTCCTGCAGAGGGGAGAAATAGAAACTAAAGGATGAGAAAAGAAACAAGAAGTTCTTCTGCACTGTGTTAAAGCTTTCTTCATTTTGCTGTAGCCCAAAGGAATTTTATCAACGCTGATTTTATTCCAAGTTCATCACCCCAAAAGTGATATCAATGATATCCAACTTTTCTTATGCTTAAAAAATGTATTAAAAAAAACATTTGCTACTATTTAGTCAAGTTAAAAATAAAAGCATTTAAAATGAATAAACTGAAATATGAGGTGTTCATTTGGTTTTATTAACTTTAGACAAATAATCATGACTCCAATCTTTCTTTTAGCTGTGGCCCACTGTTGTGGGTTGAATTATGCCCCCCAAATACATTGTAAAGACTAACCTCTGTGTCTGTCCTGGGAGCTCTTGTGGCACATTGAGCTGGTAACCTCAAGGTCAGCAGTTTAAACCCACCAGGTGTTCCAGGGCAAAAGATGATGTTTCCTGCCCCCTTAAAGACTTACAGCCTCAGAAACTCAGTTCTTATGTGTCGGTCTGTGATCTGAAAAGTCAGCAGCACTAAACTCTCAGCCATTCCTCAGGGAGGAAGACTGGGTTTTTATTTCCATAAAGGGTTACAGTCTCAGAAATCCACAGGGGCAGTTCTACCCAGACCTGTAGGTTCACTATGAGTGGACATCCACCCCATGGCAGTGCGTCTTGAGTTGAATGGTTATAATTCCACTTGGAAATAGATTACTTTGGGTACGTTAATGAAGCAGGATTAGTGGGGTGGGAATCTTTAGCCAATTTCTTTTGAGGTTTGAAAAGATTCATCAAGGAAGCAGAAGAGACAAATGGCATAAGATACCCAGGGCTGGCAGAGACCCACGGCACCAAGAAGCAAAAGCTCAAGACACAAGAATCTTCCTTCAGAGCTAACAGAACGTCCTCTCCAGTCAGCAGTCAATTGGACTTGTAGCTCCTACAGTTGGAGAGGGGAAATGTGTCTGTGAAAGCCGTCCACTGTGGAATTTCTATGTGAGCAGCACTAGATAGCCGGGACCCCCAGGTTACCTTCACCGAAAGGGTGCAGCCCGAGTAAAATAAATGTCAAGATTAAAGCAGTCTTTGTAACGTGAGTGGGTTAAGCTGTCCCTGAACTTGAAATGTGACCACTTCCACTTGAGATGCGCTGTAAGTAGAACAAAAAATGATAAGTATATCACTAGTAATTTTATACTGATTACATGCTGAGATGATAAGCTAGTAGCTGACATATAGTATAATGCCACCAGTTGAATGTGGCTACTAGAAATTTTCAAATCGTACATGCGGTTTGAGCTCTATGCCCATGATACAGTGCTGTCTATAGCATGGTTTGAAAGACATGTTAAATTCATAGGTGACCCAGCTTTCCTCTAAGACAGATGGTGCTGTTGAGACTGGGCCAAGACTGACTCAGAGTAACCGACTGCCATCGAGTCAGTTCATGGACCCTGGATTGGGTTTCTGAGACTGTGCAAACCTGACAGGAGCAGAGAGCCTCCTCTTCTCCCGTGGGCAGCCGGTGGGTTTGGACTGCCGATCAGGAGGCTAGCCGTGCAGTGCTTCCGAACAGTTCCAGTAGGGCTCCTTGGCTCAAGTAGGGGTCCTCAAGGCATGGTCCTCAAAACAGCAACAATCAGCATTGCCTGGGAACTGGTTAGACATGCACATTTCCAGACTCCATCCTGGGAGTGCGGTCCAGCAACTTGCGTTTTAACAAATACTCTTCTAAAAAGCCCCAAACCCTGCTACGACTGGAAGCACCCCTATAGAACAGAGTAGGACTGCCGCTGTGGGTCTCCCGGACTGCAAACCTTACAGGAGGAAGAAAGCCTCGCCAGACTCCTGTGGAGTGACTGGTAAGTTCGAACCGCTCGCTGTGAGGTTAGCAGCCCAACATGCAGGGCCCTCAAAAATCCCTTTGACATTGCGGGTAAGTGACAGGCTGCTCACTGAAAAGCTGAGAGTTAGAGCTCACTAGTCCCTCTGAAGGAGAAAGGTGTGGCAGTTTACTTCCATGAAGATCTCAGCCTCAGAACCCCTATGGGGCAGCTCTTGTCTGTCCCCTTAGGGGTCACGATGGGTCAGAACTGACTGCCTGACATGAGGTTTCAGGAACTTCTGTTGCGTTAAAGTTTGAGAATCAGTTTAGAACAACAGGGCAAGGAGCTGAGACTCACTTAAAGTAGGGCCAGCCCTCATTCCCTGGCTTGGGCCTGTTGAGTAGAAGTAAGACTGTCAAGGCTGGACTGGGGCGCTAACTGGAACTCACAGTGGGCTGAGACCCACAGGACAAAGACTGGGTTATGACAGCCCAAAAACTCATAAAGGGAAACGCTGGCTCTCCGAGGATATAAGCCTGATGACACCACGCACTCGTATGGGAAGTCTAAGATACAAATGACCATCTACTTGGAGCGAAAAACGTGCCTGTAAGCAATACCTACACATGTATATATATGTGTGTGGGAACGACAAATGCCCCCTTTAGGATAGTGAAAGCCAGGATAGGTAAATCTATAGAGACAGTAACTGGATTAATAGTTTTGTGGGGTTATGGCAGGGGAGGTAGAGAGCTCATTGTAATGAGTCCACAGAAGAAGATCTTCTGAAATTAATTGCAGTCATGATTGCGCAACTTTTTAATATGTTTAAATTATTGAGCTGTGAATTATATGTCAATAAAACTGTTAAAACTGTATAAAGAAGCAAGAGAGAGGAATAAAATGGGGAGAGAATTGGGCTCTGGGCTTTGTTTTTTTTACAATATTCACTTTATTTTTCATTGAGTTTTAATTAATATTTCATGTAATTCAATAGTTCAATCACATCAAGAGGGACTGTACAATCCTCACCATAATCACCTTTGGAATCCTTTCTACCTTCTTTTGCACATTAATGTTGATTCCCCATTTCCTCCACCGTACCTTTGTGTTGTCCCCAAATAATAAATTCCATTACCATCGTCCTAATTCCATTCATCCCAGTTTCTCTATACAGATAAATATACAAGACTAGGGCCGACAACAAGCAAGGATCCATCAACAATGACCATATACAATCTAAGTGAAAGCAGAAACTCTAAAAAGTGTATGCTAATTTCACATTGGGTCCATAAGGAGATCAAATTATAATATGTTAAATTCCAGTGTAAGTGCTAAAGTCCACTTTACAATGCTCTTTGTCTGATATTTGTTGGTGGACATTACTAGCCTATGTGCATTGTGGATTCACCGGAGTCTCATCTCATGTAAGCACCCTGCAAATGGATTTATGGTTACCACTCTCTTCCAAAAAAAGGTAAAGAAAAAAGCCTCAAACTCAATGCTATGGAGTCCATTCTGACTCACAGCTATCCTATGGGACAGGGTAGAACTGCCCCTGAGCGTTTCTGAGACCATAACTCTTTGGGGAGTAGAAATCCCAATCCTTCACCCACAGAGCAGCTCGTGCTTTTGAACTGCAGGCCTTGTGGTTAGTAGCCCAATGAGTAAGCACTATGCCATCAGGGCTCCTTACTATCGTTCATAGCGTTCTACAAAACCAGGCATTTAGGATTTTGATACTGATACCGTTTTCTTCTCCGGGATTGGATCACACAGTCTAGTGTGCTGCTCCCATGTGGACTTAG